TATGCCATTTACTAGACACCCCTTAAGGGTTTTGCTGGTAAAAGATGAATGAGGAGCCTTCTTTGGTGTCCCTTCTTTCTTACCTCCTCTCCCTCCACCAGACCCCTGAAAAGAGCCTGGAAGACTCCAGCTGATTTAACACCCTGAATTTCAGGACAGAGCAATGGTTATGAGCATCTTAAAGGCAGAGATTATGCCTTATTCATCTCCATAGCTTCCATAGCACCTAACACAATGACTCGTCTAACCCCATTGGTTAAACTGTTCCAGGATGCTAGGGATGAGAGATAACCACATGTTGAGTTATTTGGGGTCAGTGGTAGGGTGAAGGGGTGGAAGTGTTGTCTTTGGGATAAGCTCTGTTTGTTTGGAGCTGAAGTGCACCTGCTTAGTTTGGGGAAAATTTGTATATTGATCATAGATTTTGAGCTAAAGGGGACATTAGAGTTCATAGGGTCATACATTTGGAATAGAAAGGATCTTCGAGGTCATCCAGTTCAACCTTCTTTTTTGAGGAAACTGAGGATCATAAAAATTAAGCAGTGTGCCCAACGTCACAAAGCTGGTAATCATCAGATGTAAGATTTGAACCCAGAGCCAATACTCTTTTCACTATACTACACTGCTTCCCTGGTAATCATGGGGGGATTAACGTAGAGATATTTGGTTATCGATTTCAGTCACCTCCATTTATAGAAGAGGAAAGCTGAAATTTAGAGATGTTAAGGAATTTGCCAAAGACTATACAGGTAGTAAGTGGGAGAGGTTAGATTTGGACTTAGGTCCTCTGATTTTGATTCCAGTGTTCTTTCTGCTGTATTACATATATAGATGTTTCTCAATGGATAGAGTTGGACCTAAGTTTAAATACAGACTCAGTTGACTCTGTGCAAGTCACTTAACCCTTTGTCTGCCTCAGTTTCCTCAACTGTAAAAAGGGAATAATAACAGCACCTCCCTCCCAGGGTTGTTGCGAGGGTCAAATGAGATAATAATTGTAAAGTACTTTGTAAACCTTAAAGCTGGCTATTACAGCACCTGGCATATAGTAAGCATTATTATTATTATTATTATTATTATTATTATTATTATTATTAAACATAGGACAACATCACAATATCTCCCATTTTGGGTTGGATAGTAATTCTGGGGCAATATGGGAGTGAATGAAATACCAGGGCCACTGACAGCCCCACCTCATAAATATGTGCTGTTTTTCCCAAGGAGAACCAGACAACGGCACCAACCCACCCTGCTACAGAAAAAACAACTTGGAACATATGGTCTCCTGATGGCTGCTCGGCAACATCACCTCCGTGGATGGAAACCTTGTTATTGCAATGACTTTCTAAACAAAATTACTCCATGTGTTATTTGTATAATAATAAAACCGGAATAACACAGAGGAGCATTCAACCCAACTCCATGAAGTACCCTTGCCATTTGCAAGCACCAAGCAAGAGTGCTTGGCTGTCTTCGGCAATGAAAAATAATTGAAGCAAATTTGTCAAATCCTGACCAACCTTTGGGCTTTCCCCATCCCATCCCAGTCTGTTTTCACTCATTGTTTCACTGGAAGGCACATATAATGTCTCTTTTCAGAAAATCGAGAGAGTTGGAGGAAAAATAGTGAGAATGCAAAATGAGATCTTTCCAATTTAGTGTTAGAGCTGACTTAGAGTCATTGGATGAAGACAAGGGGAGTCAATACTTTAACTCACAGAGCTCTAGTGAAGGTGGGAAGCGGCAGGAGGGAGGCTATTCAGATTAGTTATCTCACTGAGGTTTTAAAGGGTCAACTCTGCTTAGCATACAGGGACACACTTGGAAAAATCTGTTGACATGTGCAAAAGCATTGCATTTAATTGAAATTCCAGAGATTGTTTAATAATAAGGATTTTGAAAGAACTTAAACATGCCATTTTTTTAAAATAAAGAAAGTGATCTCTTTGGAGCCTTTAATTTTTTGGTCACCACTTTATGAAGCAACATAGCATCGTGCCTAGAGGGCCAACTTTGGAGCCAGGAAGAGTTCAAGTATTGCCTCTGGCACATAATGGCTGTGTGGGCACCTCTGTGCCAGAAGCAACTTTCTAAAATTATAAATTATAGATAAACTGCTGATTTTATCAATGAAAGTAGTTTCCTAGGCAGCTAGGTGACTCAGTGGATAGAGCATGGGTCCTGGAGTCAGGAGGACCTGAGTTGAAATCTGGCCTCATACTTACTAACCGTGTGACCCTGGGCAAGTCACTTGACCCTCTTTGCCTCATTTTCCTCATCTGTAAAATGAGCTGGAGAAGGAAATGGCAAGCCACTCCAGTATTTCTGCCTTGAAAGCCCCAAATGGGGTCATGAAAAGTCAGACATGACTGAATGACTGACCAATAACAACAAAGTTTCCTAAGCTGATGAAATAGATTCCTTCTATTAATAACGATAGATTCCTTCTCTCCCTGCCCCGCCCCCACTTGAACTCATGTAGATACCCATGTGAAAATTTGCTTCAGTTCTGCCCTTCTCTGATGAGGCATGGGGGGGATGTACCAACCTAGGGAGGGACTAATGATAATGACAATAATAGAGAAGGATGAGGCAATAATATGAAAAATAACAAATAATATAAAAAAAGATAAAAACTTTCACTCAACAAAAACTCCATCATTCTATTCATCTACACAATAATTAGCCGAACACTAAACATCAAGAAAAATAGCAGGCTGGCGACTTGTCCCAGGACAATTTCTGAGCCTCATGGAATCGAAAGATAAGAATGAAATAAGAAGAAATGTCTAACATTTATGTAGCGCTTTAAAGTTTGTAGAGTTATTTACATAGATAGTCTCATTTGACTGAAGGTTTATTAAGTGCTTTGTATACATACTCTCATTTAGTTTGATTTTAATTATCACTTGCAAGTTGATGTTAGAGAATTAATTCTTTGGTGACCTATAAAATTTGCCAAGGTCATTTTTTGGTGGGGGGATGGTAAATGCAGGAATAAACAGATTCATTTGGGGTCTGCCAGGTGAGGTCAGACTGGTGGATTACTTTGGTTAGAGGAAAGAAGGAAAAGTGAGGTGGAGTGGGGGAAGAAGGTAGCAATGAAAGAAGATGGGAAAGGCTCAGTTTCCTATTGCAACTGTAGAATACATTGCTGGGTAAGGACCTTAGTTGTCCTAGAATATCAACATCACAATGGAAAATACTAGCATGACTAATGATTAATTTTGGGGACAGCTAAGTAGCTCAGTGAATAGAGAGCTGGGCCTGAAATCATCTTCCTGAGTTCAAATCTGGCCTCAGATACTTACTAGCTGTGTGACCCTGGGCAAGTCACTTAACCCTCTTGGCCTCAGTTTCCTCAACTGTAAAATGAGCTAGAGAAGGAAATGGCAAACCAACCCAGTATCTTTGCCAAGAAAACCCCAAGTGGGGTCACAAAGAATCGGACACAACAGAACAACAGCAAAAAGATTGATTTAAGGCATCATTAAAACCACTCTTTTTTTTTCAGGTAGTTCCAATCCTCCAATACCATATAAATGACTAGCTTTGTGATCAGTGTCAGCCCCATGGGTCATTCTGCCCAGTTGCCTTCAGCGTGAAGGATTTCTGATCTCAATCCAGGTGGAAGGTTCCCTAGAGCGTTGATGCATTTTCACAGTGAAATCAGTTTTCCTGACCTTGATTCCAAACCTGAGCAGTCCCCTAGGCCAGTCAGTTGTACTTTCATGGTAAATGAGTTTGCTCTTCGGACACCTTGGCATGAAATGGTGCCACTTTTCCCCATGTTCCTGCCAAGGTGAGAGATGAGGAAGACCTCTACCTCATCTACATTCCCTGTCCTGTGCCAGACCATTCTGAAGCATTGCCCAGTAGTATCCCAGGACCCATTCGTTCCTGCCCCCATGCTAGTTCCAGCCTCTTTTATCTCCTTAGAGGGTAGAGCTAGGAGCAATGTTTATGAATTGCAAAGAAACTGCTTTAGGCTTGATGTAAGGAAAAACTTCCTAACAAATTAGTCATACTAAAGTGACATGGGCTACTGCCTGAGGTATTGAGTTCATTCTCACTAGAGGCCTTCAAGCATGGGCTGGATGACCACTCATCTGGTGTGCGGAAGACAGGATTTTTTTTTTTTATCGTTATGGCCATGGAGGTCCCCTCTAACTCTGAGATTCTGGGATTCCTCCCCCTTTCACCAGGTTCATGGAATTCTGACCTTGATTAACCCTCCCTTAAATCACCAAGGGACATTGCATATTATGCTGATTTTGACTTCCTCTCCCCATCCCATCTGAGTCCCACCTTTCCCCTACCCCCTGTTGCCCCATTCATTCTCTTGCAGTCAGCTCTGCTCCACTGTCTTATTTGGGTTGACAGTCAAAAATTATGGATGGAAAGTTTTGACTGAAACCCCAAATCCAAATAATTACCAACGGTGGGACTGTCACCCCAAGGGGACATGGGTTTAGGCAAATAGTCACTGAGTTCCGAGTGTCCCTTGCTTCTCTAAGGGCTGACTATGTGTGGTGCCTGCCTTGTGATCTGGTGTCTATTCAGACTCAGGTGGGGGTCGAGCAGGCCAGGGTGACTCAAAGGCATTGTGTTACCACCTGGAGGATCAATTCGAGTCTCCTGTTTTTTTTTTTTTTCCTGAGCTTCACCTCTGCCTGGCTGACTGTCCCTTCCCTGGGATCGAGAGACTATTTGACGGGATTAAGACCCTAGAAATTGCCTTTCCTTCTCTTCTCAGCTTTCCTTGGCACAGTGTTCCCATAGGGTGTAGAATCCTAGAATAATAAGTCTTCAAACTAGAAAAGGTTTTAAGGGGCCATCCCATCCAGCCCTCTGCCTTGGAGGATAGTAATTATCCCGATTTTGCAGACTACTGTAACTAGGCCCAGAGAGGTTGAACAATTTGCCCAAGGTCACACAGCTTTTAAATGCCCATCCGCCCCTGTACTGGACCCTCTCATCTTCCCCATGCCACTTACCTGAGTTCTCCTTTTTCCTTTTCGCTGATTTTTTCTCAGTCTCATTGGCAGTGGTCCCGGGGACCCCATAGTCCTCCCCTAGGCTCCCTACAGCATCCATGAGGCCAGGGCTGCTTTCACCCACCTCCCCAGAACTCAAGGTTGGGCCTGGGGTGAGTCTTCTCCGGGCCTCAGAGCCAGGGAAGTGCCAGTCAGGGGGCTGTGGAAAGGCAGGGTGCTGGTCAGTAAGGAGCCTTTCTTCTCGGGGCAGGCTATGGGGTGCAGCGGCCAGGCACGAGGCAGAGAAGTCTGGGTACGTCGGGAAGTCTGGTTTCTGATGGAAGGAGAATGGAGCAGGAGGGTAATGGGGCAGTGCCATTGGCCCGCTGACCTCAGAATGGGGGCTCCGCAGGCAGCCCCACAGTGGGGCTGGAGAATGGGGGCCCCTCATACAGCTGTTGGCTGCTGAAT